GAACTCTATATGATATGATTTTTATAGAATTTTTTCCTTTAGAGCCAATTAGTTCATAGGAATAGATTCATATACTCCACATTTGAAAGGAAATAAACATGATATCATTTCTATAACTTTGGAGCCACTTGGTTCATACGAATGGATTCCTATACTCCCTTAATTTCAAAGGAAAATAAACTTTAGCGTATATTCAATAGAAAAGTTCCTATGATATGAACCAAATTACATCTCTTTTCTCATCCCTCCTCATAGGAATTGAGATACATGTCATCTCTAGATTCAATAGAAAAGTTCCTATGATGTGAACCAAATGACATATCTTTTCCAATTCCTAGTCATAGAAATTGAGATGCTCCATGTCATCTCTTTCCCTACAACTTCCATGTATACATCTTCTATTTCTAAATAGATAGTACAACCCACTAGTAGTTTTTTTCCAAAACATGCAACTATGGCACAAGAACTATATAGTGTGTCAATAACTTTGAAAGATGGTCGCTGGATGAAGCTAATCCGACAGTGCAGAGATGGCAAATCCGAGCACTACTGGCTGTTGGATATTATCAACATTCCACCAGATCTGCCACATGTACAATTTAGAAGACTCCATGGTTGAACTTAAGCATAATGCACAAAACTCAAAACACAAGCACTTCTCCTTTGTTCAAGAATATTCTGTATCATAATTGATTTTTTTCTAAATGAATTGCCATTATTTGTTTTTTGCTTTATGCTTTACAATGCATAACCCCATGAATCTTAACATTTTTATAAAACTAATTGATTTTGAATGAGATGAACTATAAGAACTAAACGAACATCTACATCATGCATATATGACTCAAAGCTTTACATGCTATAGTGTGTATTTATTCATAATTTGGTTTCAAAATCTCATACGTCCAATGCATGTGTACCTTACTAGTTTTGAGTAGAGTAGCAATTTCACGCGGCCCCGGGTATATCAAAATCCAGGGCCCATCATCATTGCCTTTCGGTCGAACCTACGTCAACAATTTTTTGTACGTACTATATCTCCACTGGTCCCCGAACCCAAAATGCTGCCTCCTTCCCGTAAAACCAAGCGGCCCACACATATTTAAGGCGTCGACTCGAACCCATTTACTACGACGTGGCCCTGCACACCGTAGTACTCCTACAAACCCTACCGCCGCACTCATCATCGGTTTTCTTCAAGAGGACGAGGGAGAAGCCGATTTGTAGTGGAGGCGCTTTTAAAAAAAAGGATCTGTAGTGGAGACCCCTACCCTAGGTAGCTGCCGCATGCATCATTGTTTTCTCTTTTCTTTATGCTCTTGCGCCCTAGAGTGAAATGATGGTTGCTTCGTCCGTCCAGCTTAATGCGGTAAAGGTGGGGCTTTGTGATTTGACCCCTTATCGCTCATTTTCTACTACTGCGGCGCTACGACCGGGGTGCCTCCAATTCTAACCGCTGCTCCGAACTATAATTTGGTGCATCACACATGGAACAAGACGGTGGGTGAGCCACATGTCGGCCAAAGGGGTCCTGTTAAGTGTGTTTCCATTTCGTGTGCGGACTGACCCTGCTTGAGTTGCTACGCCAACACGACAGGAGCAGCCTACCACTTGGTTTTGCTCCTTGGTGAATCCCAACTATATTGATCTAAAAAGATACGTGTTGAACTACCCTCTCCGTCTCGGTTTTTTATTTTTAGGCGTCTCGGTTTATAGGGCGTGCACGTAGTTCTAGGTCATCCATTTGACTAACTAAATACGAGTTACTATGTCACAAAAAGTAGATCATTGGATTCTTAACCAGATGTAGTTGTATTTAAAAGTCGAGGGTGGGGCTTTTCCTGCGCGGTAGGCGGGGCAGTTCCGCCTAGTCGGTTTGACAGAGACGTGAGAAGATGAGGGAGTAGGCTGCTGCAAACGTAGGGTTGTGTGATTTGTCAGCGAGTTACTGCAGGACAGGTGGGGCCCCGTGATTTGACTTGCCATTATCATTTTAACTGCGGCGCTACGACTGGCGTGAGTCTCCCGATTCCTGACCACCTCCATGAAGGTGCCTCTCCCAATGCTCCACCATGTAGTAGAGGCTGGCTCTTGCATGAGAGCCCACTTCTTCACTTTTTCCTTGCCTCTCTTTCCTCCACATATAGCCCACTATTGTAGTACTACTAACTTGCTCCGCCGCATCTTCATACAGTACAACTACTTGCTGGCCTGACTCTTTCACATGCATCAATCCAACACAAACAAATCCAACCTCTGCTTACCATGTGTGAATGGAGAAACAAATCTCTGTTTCTCGGCAAACAACCCTTAAAGTGCCAACCAAAAGCAAAAGACTAAATGGACACGGACAAGCAGACTAATTCAAATGTACCAGACTAAACCAAAACCCCTAAAAAAACCCAGACTAAACTAAAGGGCACATGTCTTATTGCATCCACACCTTCCTGGCAACACACTATGACCAGCATGTTCTATCATTCAATCCTCACAAACTGACGCCCATCATTCAATCCTCACAAACTGACGCCACTGGAATGACATAGGACACGCAGGGCCAGCACACACATTAGTAGGCCATGCCAATTGAACGAAAAGAAAAAAACCACCAAGCACGAAGCACCCATGTGCAAATGAGGAAAAAATTCCAGCCTTAGTAGCATCCAGCCAAAGCACACTCCTGTAAACCACAAAGAAACAAAAAGGGAAATAAAACCACTAAAATACAACCAGTTGATAGCACTCTTTGTCTCCACCAATATAACACAACAAAGAAAGACACTCTGTGCACATCTACATGAACGACAACCACAGTTTACCGATCTCAACATCAAATATACACGCACACGAGCACTAACCTAGATACGGAAAGGAACAACAGCAGATAGAAGGAGAAGAGGGGTCGACCTGTAAGTCCCTGGACGAAGACAGGGAGGCTGCCATAGATCCAACAATGAGCAGACAAGAGGGTTCACCAAAAGGAGCTCCTACAAAGAATAGACCAGTCGGCAGCAAAACAAGTGTCAAGATCATGGCTCAACTAAAGCAGACAAAACCGGGTCAAAACGAGGCTTACCCATAGACCGATGAGTGCGACAACCAATCCAGCCCAACGACCACAAGAACAACGGATCTGCAGGCAACAGAAATCCGAAATCAATTAGCCAGGGCCAATCCAATTGAGAGAAAGCACAAGCGACTTGGGGAATGGCTCACCTGGCAGTCATCGGAGTGGTTGCACTGAGGAGCACCAACGCCACCGCAGGCCGTGTCGCCCTGGGCCTCCTCGTCGCCGAAGGCCGCTACCACACCAACGGTTGTTTCGTCGTATGCGCGAAGCAGGGGCGGGAGGCGCGGGATTGGGGACTGGCGGCGGGCGCCATCTCGCCCTGTCGATCGTCGACGCCGAAGGGCGCCGCGCACTCGAACCAGGGCTGGAGGCACGGGATCGGGGGCCGGCGGCGGCGCGAGGAGAGGGAGAGGATACGCGGGTCGGCGCGGTAGGAGGATGACCGGCGGCAGCTGGTCGTGGATCTTCTCCTCCACCGTCGCCTGTTGCCCCTCCACATCTTGAGCACGAGGAAGGGCCGATGGAGATTCCATGGGAAGGAGGAGGGAGGCACATCAGCGGTCGTGAGGAACGAGGGGGAGAGGAGGACGAGCGGCGGCTATGCCAGGGAAGTGGACGAGGGGGACGAATGAGAGCACGAAAGGATGGGCCGCCGCCCTCCCCCACCCCATAGCCGCACGAGCCAACCACCGCATGCCACGCACGACCCTGGAAGCGAAAAGACCGAAATACCCTCGGTGGGGGTAGGAAATAACGTGCGGTGGCAGGGGATATTTACCGTCGGTGGACGCGACGCGCTGGAGCCACAGACACGGTCGCTGACAAATAGGGCCCACCCGCGACGGGACCCGCATGTCAGCGAGGCCCTATCAAACAAACAGAGTAACAGGCAACGCGTGGAGGCAGTTAGAATCAAATACTATTCATTTCTATAGTGCCATCTTGAGATCCGACGACCCAACTCCTCCCATCTCTGGACCCAACGGCCGAAAATGCATCAAGCAGTACGATCCGACGGCCAGAATCGCCTGAGCTCTCTGAGGAGGCTCGGTGAGACATTGGTCTCTTATTTCTGGACGTGATACGTAGGAGTACTACGCAACGTTATATTTGCAAAAGAAACTCTTGCGCATGCCGTATAGTTGACCAGTTATTAATATATGTGATATAAAAAAAATCACAATCATAAATAAGTATTTTTCAAATACATGCCGTATAGTTGATCAGTTATTGATCTATGTGATATAAAAATCACAATCATAAATAAGTATTTTTCAAATATAAATATCTAAATTAATATTTTGTGCCATGTATATATTGCATAAATATTGCTAGTATAGTACTCCCTCTTTTTCACTTTATAGGGCTTATCTCAAAATTTTAGTTTTTTCATTTTATAAGGCTCAATTTGATTGTTTCCCATCACATGTTCAGATTTCAAGGTGCATTAAATCATTGCATGCAAATATTGAGAGAAAATTGACCAATGCATGTACTTTATGCATGCATGCATTGCAATTAATGTATTGATAAACATAATTTTTTGAGAAAAACAAAAGCATTAATTAGGTGCTTTTGCAAACTACAAAAAGTATTCCACCACTCACCATCTACCTTGGTTGATGAGATTTTTGAATTGAGCCTTATAAACCGGAATGGAGGGAGTAAAATCTTGTCTTATACTCCACAAGTATATAATAAGCAAACAAATGCGCACTACGTTTCAGGCTATTATTTCTTGATATTCGCTAGCTTTTGTTTGCACAGAATCAAAATTTTAGTGGCTGGTGACGCGGCAGCAAAATGTTTTAATCAGAAGAATATATGTGCAGCCACTACACGTTCGATAAAGAGAGCGCCACGACTCCACTTGTGGCACGCACAAACTCAAGAATTCAAAGGAGCAGCAAGCACCGCAGCACCGGCGTCCATGGCCTCCGCCGACCACCTCCGCGCCCTCGACCTCAAGGCGTTCGACGACACCAGGGCGGGCGTCAAGGGCCTCGCCGACGGGGGCGTCACCGCCGTCCCGTCCATCTTCCACCACCCGCCCGAGTCCCTCCCCGACTCCGCGCCGCAACCTCACCGCTTCACCGTCCCGGTTATCGACCTGTCCGCCGCGGGCACCACACGAGCCGCGGTGGTCGCGCAGGTGAAGGAGGCCGCGGAGACGGTGGGATTCTTCCAGGTGGTGGGCCACGGCGTGCCGGAGGCGGCCACGGCGGCGATGCTCGCCGCGGCGCGCGGCTTCTTCGAGCAGCCCGTGGAGTCCAAGGCGGCCTACTACACCCGCGACCTCGCCCGGCGCGTCCGGTACCAGAGCAACCTCAACCTGTTCAAGTCGCGGGCGGCCAACTGGCGCGACACGCTCTTCATGGAGCTGCCGGCGCCCGAGGAGCTCCCGGCGGCGTGCAGGGGCGTCGCGCCGGAGTACGCGCGGCTGCTGCAGCAGGGGCTGGGCCGCACGCTGCTGGGGCTGCTGTCGGAGGCGCTGGGCCTCCGCCCCGGCCACCTCGAGGAGGAGCACGGGTGCCTCGACGGGGTCAGCCTCGCCTGCCACTACTACCCGGCCTGCCCGGAGCCGCAGCTCACCCTCGGCACCCCGCGGCACTCCGACGCCGACTTCCTCACCGTGCTCCTCCAGGACGCTGTCGGCGGCCTCCAGATACTCGTGGACCTCGAGGACAAGGACGGCGGAGAACGGAAGCAGGCGGCGTGGGTGGACGTGCCGCCGGTGGCGGGCGCGCTGGTGGTGAACGTGGGGGACTTCCTGCAGATCATGTCCAACGGCAGGTTCAAGAGCGTGGAGCACCGCGTGGTGGCCAACGCCGTGGGGCCGCGGGTCTCCGTGGCGTGCTTCTTCCGGACGGACCGCACCGCCGCGTCGACGACGGTGCTGGAGCCGATCGTCGTTGCCGACGGCGACGGCGGCGCGCGGTACGGCAGCACGACGGCGGAGGAGGTGGTCCAGCGGCACTACAAGGTCTCCTCTGCGCTCCAGCAGCAGCACTTCAGGCTCTGAATCTCATCATCGGTCCAAGCCACCCAAAATGTATCTTTTTTTCTCTATGAGTGCCAATCACCCAGTTGCTAGCTGATCCCAAAACATTACAATAAACTCAAGTTGACTCCTGAAGTTTGAATTTTGGTTTTGAATGGGTTTCAAGAATAGGCCTCCTGCATTTTGAATGTGTTTGAAATTCTGTTTCCTCGGACAGGTTTTCACAAACTTTTCTGTTAAAAAATAGTAAAACAAAGCAGAGTTTTGGGATCGATCTGCTTAACACAGCCTCGTTTCCAAGTGATGGCTCAGAAAGAGCAGAGCAAATGTAAGAAGCAACATGTATAGATCTGAACAACCAGATAGTCGCCATCTCTTTCCTTCTCCACAAGAAAAGCTGTTCTTCTCCCGTTGGCGCTGCCACCGGTCCGCCCCATCTTCGATGGCCTCTAGGCCATGGAGGTGCGGAGGATCTCGGCCCCCAGCCGGCAGAAGGGACCCCATTCTCGTTGTTGTATGTTCAGTGTCTTGGTTGGGGCTATGTGGCGTCAGCGATGTCCCTTAATAGGCTTAATGTCTCCCATGTTCTATTTCTGTCCCGATGGTGCGTCTAGCATCATCGCAGGGCACGTGGAGGTCTGTCTCCGTTGGATCTCGCGGGATTCGATCGCTGCCGGTCTTCGGTGGACCTGTTTGGATCCAGTCTTCTTTTGTCTTTGCTCGGGTGTTTACATGTTTGATCCTTCTGGTCAACGACTTTCTTCATCGGCGATGGTCACTACTCTGCTGCGTTGGTCCTATGGAACCTTAGCACGACGACTTCTCGACTGTCTACTATAACAAGGTTTGCCTGGCTCCGGTGATGGATGGACGATGACGGCGGCATACATTCGGCTCACTCCAGTGCTTTTAGTCGTTGATAGGTGGTCCACGAACATGGTTGTAATTTTTATTACCTTTGTTGTTCTTTGTGCTGTCATAATTGAAGATGAATAGATTGAAAGTTTTTTTAAAAAAAGTGAGAAGCATCAATCGGAGTCATAAAAATGCTAATGCCAATCAATCATTTTCTTCTATATATATGTTACTCCCACAAAGACACCGCCTTTTGGCAAAAGCTGAGCAGCCTGCACTAGTTTACCTTGTCTGACGAACAACTAGTATAGGAGAGATTCTCTAGTTCATCACCTGTGGGGAGGGGGCTTATTGAATATAACCGATCGAGAAGGCAACATGTAGTTAGCACAAAGTGCATCATTTGATTAAAGTGTATCTTCAAAAGTTGAGCAGTTTTAACATGGTCTCTCTAAAGTCCTAGTATTACCTCATTACTTTTTCATGAATACGCATTGTTGCGTATCATTTCATTGATAGGTGAAAAGAACATACAGGGTGCCACTCGAGGGGGCGTACACGCATCGGCGTCCGTGGCATGAGCATGTTGGATATGAGCCGTTGATTTCACGAAGTAGTGAACCTGAGTAATTAGCCGAAGGTAATTAATTGGTTCTATCTTGTCACCATCCTTCTGTTGCTCCTGTAGAAATAAGGAGGAAAGGCTCCATCTCCCATAAGAAAGAAAAAGGAAATGCTCCAACTAAAAAGGACACTGAATCACTTCCTTCCCAAATCTCTCAGGAAATCAAATTCATTGGAGTTTGACCGGTGTATGTCGTCTCTACATGATTCGAAAAGCCAGATTAATCTTTATTAAGCATTAAAATTTTAAAATAAATTAGCTGCAATCACATCCAATAAAAAATTTGGTGCACTCGTAACAAAGTGACTTTTGAAAAACATATCGTTCGTTCTCCACTGGAGGCTGTTTTCACTGCTTGTTCCTTTTGATGCACTGGTCAGGTCTTCTGAAGGGGGTTGACAAGGAAAACGTCCAGGCCGGGATCCAGAAGATTTTTCGTGTGGCTGAAGCTTTGGCGGATTGTTCTGCTCCTGGTGGCAGGCGTATGCTGGGAGGTGGAAACTAAAGTCTGAAGCTGGACATTGGTGGCTGTTCTTAGAGTACTTGGTAGTCCTCACAGGGGTTTGATGCCCGCTGAGCTGTATGTGGGGCTTTTGGTGCTGGAGTCTAGTTCTTCTTCCTGGGTGCGGATAGTTCGATGTGCTGGTCTTTTGAGTTCGAGATGGTTGGTGTCATCAGGTTTTTGCCCCATGGTTGATGGTTCGTTTTAGAGCCATCCATTGCGGGTTTCCTGATTGATGCTCCAACTCGCTCTCCCCAATCGGTCTCCTTTTGCTTATCTTTAAACTCTAGAGGTTCTCGAGTGCTGCTACAAAGACAACTGAGACTGATGTATTTCCGTTAAGCAATTAATGGAAACGGGTGTGAGCCCGGTTGAAAAAAAAACATCCAATAAAAGAAGTGGAAAATTGTAAAATAGATGAAAACAACAAAATCACAATCTTACGATATGTGCTAACCACCACAACACCACATATTCTTCTCAAGTTTGCTTGTGTACTTGACAATATATGCGCATTCTTTTACGCCCAATACATTATGGAAATAACAAAATCATTATTATTTTCTCTAGTGTCACGTTATTTTGTGACCTCGCAGTATTTGAACATAAATTGGGACATTTAATGGCATCGGTCACGTTAATGATGTTAGGATGTAGGAGTAGAATCAAGATCAGAAGGGGAATTGCTTTGCAAAATCACATAAATCAAATATACCATTCGATCATGTTGTCATACTGGTACTACATTTAGGATTTCTTGGTAAAAACAAAATATGGTCCATTTATGTCTCAATCGACAATCGACTGAGATTTAAGAAACTCTCAATCGATTCAAAGTAGTCTAACTTCAATTTAACAAAAAGTACAACCTGCATCTTTTCCCTAATTGCACTTTTCTAGAAAGTTACCCAAAGTTGCACTTCCCTAAATTGGTTAAGACTTGAGAAAATCTTGATCCTAGCAAACTACTTTTTTTCTCTGAACTAAGGCAGTCCATACTAGACCGATAAATAAGAATTTCTTGGCACATGGAGCAACACCTATATTTCAAATTCTGCCTCAAAAGATTATCCATTTTCCGATCAAAAGGCACTAATGAGTGATACGTCTCCAACGTATCTATAATTTTTGATTGTTCCATGCTATTATATTACCCCTTTTGGATGTTTATGGGCTTTCTTTTACACATTCATATCATTTTTGGGACTAACCTACTAACCGGAGGCCCAGCCCATATTGCTGTTTTTTGGGCCTATTTCAGTATTTCGAAGAAAAGGAATATCAAACGGAGTCCAAACGGAATGAAACCTTCGGGAGCGTGATTTTTGAAACAAACGTGATCCAGAGAGCTTGGAGTGCAAGCCAAGAAGCTGCCGAGGAAGCCACGAGATAGAAGGCCGCGCCCCCCCTGTAGGGCGTGCCCCCTGTCTCGTGGGCCCCTCGGACGGCCACCGACGTACTTCTTCCTCCTATATATACCTACGTACCCCGAAAACATCCAGGATCACCACAAACACAATTTCCACCGTCGTAACCTTCTGTATCCGCGAGATCCCATCTTGGAGCCTTCACCGGCACTCTGCCGGAGGGGGAATCGACCACGGAGGGCTTCTACATCAACACCCTTGCCCCTCTAGTGAGTTGTGAGTAGTTTACCACAGACCTACGGGTCCATAGTTATTAGCTAGATGGCTTCTTCTCTCTTTTTTGATCTCAATACAATGTTCTCCCTCTCTCTTGTGGAGATCTATTCGATGTAATCTCTTTTTGCGGTGTGTTTGTCGAGATCCGATGAATTGTGGGTTTATGATTAGATTTATCTATGGATATTAATTGAATCTTCTCTGAATTCTTTTATGTATGATTGAATTATCTTTGCAAGTCTCTTCGAATTATCAGTTTGGTTTGGCCTACTAGATTGATCTTTCTTGCCATGGGAGAAGTGCTTAGCTTTGGGTTTAATCTTGCGGTGTTCTTACCCAGTGACAGAAAGGGTTGCAAGACACGTATTGTATTGTTGCCATCGAGGATAACAAGATGGGGTTTATATCATATTGCATGAGTTTATCTCTCTACATCATGTCATCTTGCTTAATGCGTTACTCTATTCTTATGAACTTAATACTCTAGATGCAGGCAGGAGTCGGTCGATGTGTGGAGTAATAGTAGTAGATGCAGGTAGGAGTCGGTCTACTTGTTATGGACGTGATGCCTATATACATGATCATGCCTAGATAATCTCATAACTATGCGCTTTTCTATCAATTGCTCGACAATAATTTGTTCACCCACCGTAATACTTATGCTATCTTGAGAGAAGCCTCTAGTGAAACCTATGGCCCCCGGGTCTATCTCTTATCATATTTTCTTTCAATCTACTTTATTTGCATCTATATTATAAAATACCAAAAATATATTTATCTTATCATACTATCTCTATCAGATCTCACTTTCGCAAGTGGCCGTGAAGGGATTGACAACCGCTTTATTGCGTTGGTTGCGAGCTCTCAGTTTGTTTGTGTAGGTGCGTGGGACTTTTGAGGAGCCTCCTACTGGATTGATACCTTGGTTCTCAAAACCGAGGGAAATACTTACGCTACACTTGCTGCATCACCCTCTCCTCTTCGGAGAAAACCAACGCTAGCTCAAGACGTAGCAAGAAGGATTTCTGGCACCGTTGCCGGGGAGGTCTTCGCTCAAGTCAAGACATACCAAGTACCCATCACAAACCCATCTCCCTCACATTTACATTATTTGCCATTTGTCTCTCGTTTTCCTCTCCCTCACTTCACCCTTGCCATTTTATTCGCCCTCTCTTTCCCAATCTCCTCCTCTCTGTTTGCTTGCCGTTTTTTTGTTTGCTTGTGTGTTGGATTACTTGTTGCCATGGCGCAAGATAATACCAAATTGTGTGATTTCTCGAATACCAATAATAATGATTTCCTTAGTACTCCGATTGCTCCTCTTAATGATGTTGAGTCTTGTGAAATCAATGCTGCTTTGCTGAATCTTGTTATGAAAGATCAATTCGCCGGCCTT